ATTACAAGGGAGAAAAACTTACCTCTAACCACTTGCTTTATACCAGCCTGAGTGGGGAGACTCTATCAGTCTCTCCCTCCCTCCCCACAGGTAATCGGGGGGGGGGGGCTGCCATAGTGTCGGGGGGGGTAGGCGAGGGCTCCTTGCTTGGACCACCTGCAAGCTTAGTGTCTGGCCTGCTGAAAGATGTATTGTTGCAGATTTTTTTTGTGAGCAGCAGCCCCCATCCTCAGATGCAAGGTTTATTTCTTGCATGAATTTTTATACTGCCCTTGTGTCGCATTCACAGGGTGGTTTACAGAAAGGATGTAAATGCAAAATAGAAATAAAATAAAAGCCACAACTTCTTTTTTTGTTTCAGCAGCACAGAACAGTCAGCTGGATCAAAAACGCATCTATAAAGCTCAGGAATTTTTTTAAAAAGACATTTCCATGGCACGGACAGAATAATACCTTAGATGCCAGGCAGACTTTTCTAGCGGGGGGAGCATTCCACAGCTCTGGCACTACTAGGGCTGCCATACATCCTGATTTTCCAGGACGCGTCCAGGAATTCGCCTCTGAAAATGGCGTCCTGGAATGTTTTTCGGAAATTGGGCAAATGTCCTGGAAAATGTCTTTGTTGTTGTTGTTTAGTCGTTTAGTCGTGTCCGACTCTTCGTGACCCCATGGACCAGAGCACGCCAGGCACTCCTGTCTTCCACCGCCTCCTGCAGTTTGGTCAGGCTCATGTTTGTAGCTTCGAGAACACTGTCCAACCATCTCATCCTCTGTCGCCCCCTTCTCCTTGTGCCCTCCATCTTTCCCAACATCAGGGTCTTTTCCAGGGAGTCTTCTCTTCTCATGAGGGGGCCAAAGTATTGGAGCCTCAGCTTCACAATCTGTCTTTCCAGTGAGCACTCAGGGCTGATTTCCTTAAGAATGGATACGTTTGATCTTCTTGCAGTCCATGGGACTCTCAAGAGTCTCCTCCAGCACCATAATTCAAAAGCATCAATTCTTCGGCGATCAGCCTTCTCCAAAACTCAAAAATTCTTGTAGCTTTTACTAAAAAGGGAGGGATTGTCTAAAAAAGCAACAACTTCCAGGTTTTCCTTAAAAAAGCTTGACAATTGGGGTGTGTGTGTCCTTTTTACTTTTTGAAATATGGCAACCCTAGGCACTACCACTGAGAAGTCTCCCTCTCCAGTATCCACAGTATCATCTTGTGTGGCAACATGTAGGAGTTCTTCCACTGAAGATCTTGATGTATCAGACGGTGTATGTGGAGATAGCCAGGTCTTCAAGCACCCTGGTCATAATACTTGAAGGGGAACTGGAAGCTGACTAGGATCCACTGCAACTGGCATAGCACATGCATAATGGGGTCATTAACACCCAGTCCCAATTAGCAGCCACATTCTGCACTAACTGCACTTTTGCCACACTCTTAGAGGACAGTACATTGCAGCCATCTACCCTGGAGGCTTCTACATAATGGATTACTGAATCATGGCTGTCAGTGTTCTCCTCAGTAAATGGATCTCTCTCTCTCTCTCTCTCTCTCTCTCTCTCTCTCTCTCTCTCTCTCTCTCGTGTGTGTGCAAAAACAACAACCACACCTTTAACAGTAGGGCCAAAAGGTTGCAAAATGTGAGAGGCAGTAGCAGACTTGGGTGACATTTCTTTGTTGAGACCAAACAAGGACAGAGTGACCTATCCAAAATCTAGTGCGCAACATTTTTGTTTAGCCACTACCTTATGAGGGAACAGTGTGTTGTGCTTACAGCTGGGGATAGATTTGAGCAACACACACACACACACCCCATCCATTTTCATATAAAATAGGACCATTTATTCTAGTTTCCTCCTTCCTAAGCAGCCCTTAGTGTGTTTTGCTCCTAGCAGGGTCTAATCTAATTAAGTCTGCCGGATGCACCACCTGCATTCCAGCTAACTGCAGCCTGGAGGGCGTCAACGTTTCCCCTCCTCTCTCTCACATTTTGTTTTAAAATCCAGCCTCAAGTGGTTGTTGTGAGGACAAAAGGGAGCAGCAGACGAGTGGGGGTTGCATCCACACCATACGTTTAAAGCACTGCTCACAGAGTTACAAAATCCAGTGCCCTTAAATTACACTTCCCGTAATTCTTTGTGGGAAGCCATGGCAGCTGAAAGTATTATAAGAGGGTTTTAAATGTATGGTGTCGCTGTGACCTGTAGAGTCATGTATGGCACCATCATCTCCTTGGGACAAAGGCAAGATATACAAGTAGCAAAACTATTCTGGAGAATTCTGGTGGGGGGTTTTGGGGGGTTTTTTAGGATGTGCTCCCCAAAGCTCACACAATACTAGGACTCGGTGAAAAAATAGAAGAAGAGGAAGAGGAAGAGGAAGAGGAAGAAGAAGAAGAAGAAGAAGAAGAAGAAGAAGAAGATTACCAAAACATAAGAGCTTGCTGAATCAGGCCAGTGGTCTTTCTAGACCAGCATCCTGTTCTCACAGTGGCCAACCAGATGCCTATAGGAAACCCGCAAGAGCCATCTCCCTTCAGAGGTTTCCAGCAACTGGCATTCAAAAGCATTACTGAATCCAGTGGCATAGCTAGCTGCTTGGGCGGGCAGGGCGAGGCGCCCATGGGGGGCAGGGGGCGTGGAATCCCAGTGCCCGAGCCGCTCCAGCACCCTGCAGGCCCGCGTTGCTTGCAGGGAGTCTGCCCGCTGCCTCCCTCTCAGCTGCCGTTTCCCAGGAGAGATGTGTGGCTCGGGCCCTGCACTGCAGGCCCCGCAGTAAGTGCCGGCCCTGTGGTGTGGCGCCCAGTGTGCCCCGCTCCCCTAGCTACGCCTCTGCCTCCGAATGTGGAAGCAGCATAACCATCATGGGCAATAGCCATGGATAGCCTTATCCTTCATGAGTTTATCCAATCTTCTTTTAAAGCCACCCAAGTGGGTGACCATCACTGCTTCCTGAGGGAGGGAGTTCCACAGTTTAACTATGTACAGTGGTACCTCGGGTTAAGTACTTAATTCGTTCCGGAGGTCCGTTCTTAACCTGAAACTGTTCTTAACCTGAAGCACCACTTTAGCTAATGGGGCCTCCTGCTGCTGCTGTGTCCCCAGAGCACAATTTCTGTTCTCATCCTGAAGCAAAGTTCTTAACCTGAGGTACTATTTCTGGGTTAGCGGAGTCTGTAGCCTGAAGCGCATGTAACCTGAAGCGTATGTAACCCGAGGTACCACTGTACTTTATCTGTCCTGAATCCTCTTAACATTCAGCTTGCTTGGATATCCAAAAGTTTTAGTGTTATAAAAGAGGGAGGGGAAAAAATTCCCCTATGTACTTTCTCAATGCGATGCATTATTTTATAAATTTCTATTTTGTTGCCTCTTACTCGCCCTTGTTCTAAAGTAAAGAGTTCCAATTGCTGCAGCCTTTCCTCATCGGAGAGTCACTCCATCTCTATATAATAGTTATATTGTATGAATGTCTTAAAGGAGTTGAACTTCAGAAAGATATTGAGAAAATGGACCATTAGCAGTAGCCCAGGCTATGTCAGGAATGGAAAAACCAGATCCTCCTACAGAAACCTGAATAAGAAGAATTGGGAGTACAGCTTACACATGATTAAATTGACAAGTACGCTATGGGTCTGAAAGAGTTGGCAAAAAGAAGTTTATTGAGAAACGGAGTGTATTCCTTTTGTACTGGAACAACAAAGTGGAAGCCACATTTAATCTGCACACATTATTAGGTGAAATATAGATTGAAGTAACAGAAGTTTAGAAAAATTATACACGATAGGATATTGAATATTGTTGCACACCACCCCAATCTCCCTGTGGTGCAAGATGAGGCACAGCAGAGATTGTGGTGTCTTTATGGTTTATTTACACATATCTACAACTTGAGTCAACAATAGAGGTTTTCACAGCATTAAAATTCCCAAAGGGTCTTGCTTCTCCCATAGTCACAACCTTGGATTCAAGCAGAAATCAAGAATTGCTCTGTGTCTCCAAGTTCCCAGCCTGCTGCTTCTGGCTTCTAGCCCACATACCTCAACTCTGGCCTTTGTTTTTCTAACTACAGTACCAGCAAGTTGAAGGAAGGAGGACCCACCCATCTTACGTCTGCCACAGACCTACTTCCTTTGTTACCTTAATGACCCATACTTAGGCCATTACCTCACCAGGAAGCTAGCCTGGCTATTCCAGGAATTTGAATCCTTGCTTGGATTTTAACACTTGCTGGATCCAGATATTAAAAGGCTCTCAGCCTACTGCCTATCCCCACCCTCCCCAACTCATAACACTGTTATTCATATAGGGATTATCTCTTTCAGTCTGATACTCTCAATTAATGTTTTACTCATTTCCAAAGGCTCAATGATTGACCCTAAGAATGAAGTGTTAAGGGCAATTAATGCAGCAAATTAATGCAGTAAATATGGTTAAATGGACTGGAAACAACCTTTTACGGGGAAAGTATTGTGTACATAGCAACAGATGCAATTTATGGCAAAGGTACAAATTATCTTCAGGCTTTTTGTTGGAATTTTATTAAACTTTCCGAATACAATTTTACCATTAGAGGCATTCTCATGAATGCAAAACTTGTTCGGGATGTTGTGATATTTATTTGGTACTTTGTGATATTTTTCAGGCCATTTGGATAGCCTCCTCGCCCGCACCGACCCACTGCGGTGCTGCTTTAACGGCTGAAGCGGGAAAGAAACCCGCCGCCTCGCTGACGCCCTGCTCGAATCCAGCGGGCCAGAGTAGGCCCAACTCCGCGCGCGCCCTCACTGTGCGCGTTTCGCTCAGCTGCTGGCAACGCTGTTATTAAAGGCACGGGAGCAGCGGAAGTTTCGAAAAGGCGGCCATCTGCCCTGGGATGATGACAGGAGCGGCCACAGGTTGCGAGGAGGCCCCGGAGAGCCGAGGTCGCCTGTTGGACCTGTTCCCGCCCCCTCCCTCCTCTCCGAGCTTCTTGCTCGCGCAGCAGGCCCGGCGCGAGAGATGCCTTTCCCCGCCTGGCACCGGCGCGCGGCTGCTTTGCGCGTCAGCTGGCAATGCCCTCTTAACCCCGAGAGAGAGAGGTCTCTGGCGGCGTCCGGGCCGCCTCCCTCGCTCGCCCCCCCGCGATCTTCATCCCTCGCCTCCCTCCGGCGAAGGAGGAGCGAGACGGGCAGGAAGGAGGGGCGATCCGGGCCGCGCGCGCAGAGGGAAAGGGGAAAGAAAAGTTTTCAGAGAGTTTCTGGAGGCGGTTCCAAAGCCCCGAGCGCGTCGTCGTCGTCGTCCGGGCGGCCTCGGCAGCGACACCAGCGCGCATGGACGCCCTCAAATCCGCCGGACGGGCCATAATCCGGAGCCCCAGCATCGCCAAGCAGAGCTGGAGCAGCGGCAGGCATAAAAGTAAGTCCGCGGGAAGGCAAGCAGGCGCGCGCCCCCGTCGCCTCCGCTTCGGATCTCCAAGATCTCCCTTCTCGGAGAGGGAGATTGGGCTGCTGCGCCGATCGCCCTGGTCTGGTCCGGGGGTGCTCCGGGGGTCCCCTGATTCTGGGCTGGAGCGCGCGAGGTGCATCGGGGCAGGATTATAAGGAGCCGGGGTCACTTCAGGGGCAGGGGCTCCTTTTGTGTAGGGACGGGAGAGGCAGGAAAGAGAAGCGTACGTGACCAGGAGAGCGGCTGCAGCGTCCGGCAGAAGTTTTTGATGACAGGCGGACAAAATCTACACACACACACACACACACACACGGAGACATAAGTACTCATACCGCCATTGAAACCCCCCCCCCCACTTTAAATGAGCCGGCTCTTTTTAAAAATGGTTACACTAGTCTTACTTGTTTTTGTAAGTTGCCTAAAGTTTTATAGAAGCTGCACGGTGCTTTGCAAAAATATCACAGTCCATCTATGCAAGGCTAGGGAGCAGCCTAAGAGACCTAGGAACGTCGGAAGCTGCCTTCTACCGAGTCAGATCACTGACCCCTCTAGTTCAGGATTGTCCACGTTGACTGACAGCGGCTCAGCGGGGTTTCAGACGGGGCCCTTTCCAGCCCCACCCGGAGATGTTCTACCACCACTGAGCTGCATCCCTTCCCCAACTGAAAAGTCGGAGAGGGAGAGATCAGGGTCAGAGAAACAAAATAAAAGAGACAATCCTATATGCAAATCTCACTGAACTCTGCAGACTTACTCTGCTTCTCAATAGGAGTGGGCTGTAAGGCAAATTCCTCTGGAAGTTCTGATGAAATATTAGAGAACTGTTCAGAACAGAGATCTAGCCTTCTGGATGTTCTGGGACTCCATTTCCCATCAGCCTCAGCCAGCATGGCCAGTGGCAATGGACAACAACATCTGGAGGATAACAGCTTGCTCACTTCTGGTTTCAAAGAGGAAGGAAACTATCAAGATATCACAAAGCACTGCTCTGCTAAGGAAGCAGCATTTTAAAATATTATATGATTCTCATGCCCTGCTGCAGGGGTGGGTTACCCTCATCAAGGGCCATATTCCCTCAGAGGTAATCTGTCAGGGGCCACATGTCAGTGGTGGACGGAGGGAGAGCTGTTGTACTCTTAAAGTACAATGCATAAAAAGGTAAAGGTACCCCTGCCCGTACGGGCCAGTCTTGACAGACTCTAGGGTTGTGCGCCCATCTCACTCAAGAGGCCGGGGGCCAGCGCTGTCCAGAGACACTTCCGGGTCACGTGGCCAGCGTGACATCGCAGCTCTGGCGAGCCAGAGCCGCACACGAAACGCCGTTTACCTTCCCGCTAGAAAGCGGTCCCTATTTATCTACTTGCACCCGGAGGTGCTTTCGAACTGCTAGGTTGGCAGGCGCTGGGACCGAACAATGGGAGCGCACCCCGCTGCGGGGATTCGAACCGCCGACCTTTCGATCGGCAAGTCCTAGGCACTGAGGCTTTAACCCACCGCGCCATGCGCAATAATAATGAACAGTGTGCAATATAGAGACCTAATTCTACCCCTTCCAGGTTTCTTAGCCAGTTCACAGCTGCTTCTGTCTAAAGCAATGAATTATGGGAAATGTAGTTTGTTAAGAGTGCTGAGAGTTGAGTTATTCCCTCAAAGAATTCTGGGCACTGTCATTTGTTAAGGCTTGCTGGGAACTGTGACTCTTTCAGGGGTGAACTACAATGTCCAAAATTATTTGAAGGAAATTATTTGTGTTTTGAGTGTGCTTAAAGGTATGGTGTGTGATTTTTTTTTTAAACGAATAGTGTGGATGTGGTCATAGTTACTAGATGCTCCCAGAACATTCACTCTTCCCCTCTCCCCCAAATTCTGATGGAATATTAATTAGTGGATGGGCTGCTGGTTGTATGTTTTGAGCCCTATTTGAGGGTTCACTTCTGTCAAACGATTGTAATCATCTTGTTTCCCAGAGATACTGAACAGCAACAAACAGTCAGGGTGGACAAGACTGGGCTATATAGACAAATTGTTCGGCTTGGTATAAGACAGCTTCTTATGTTACTTCGTATACCAGGGATGGAGATGCTCTAGATGTTCTTGGACTTTGACTCCTAACAGCCACAGCCAACATGGTCAATGGTCAGGGATGATGGGTGTTGTAGTCTAGCAATGTCAGGCTTGGAGGGAGGAGTACTTGCTTAATCTCTGCACTTGAATATTGAGTAGAGAGCATGGCAAATGCTATGATAATAGCTGCTGCTGTTTTTCAATTTTCTTGTTAGAGGTCAAACTGTCATGACAGGGAATGCTTTATTTGCAGTCATGAGGGAGGGCATACAGTGGTACCTCAGGTTACAAGTGCTTCAGGTTACAAACACTTTGGGTTACAAACTCCGCTAACCCGGAAGTAGTACCTCGGATTGAGAACTTTGCCCCAGGATAAGAACGGAAATTGCGCGGCAGCAGCGGGAGGCCCCATTAGCGAAAGCGCACCTCAGGTTAAGAACGGTTTCGGGTTAAGAACAGACCTCTGGAACGAATTAAGTTCGTAACCTGAGATACCACTGTATATGGCCTGGGGTTCCTCATATCTGGTCTATACAGATCAAAATCCCTGAATAGAGCTACTTAAATCATGTGATTTGGTGAAGTGTCTTCTGTACTCAATTTTTGGGGAACTGGCATATTCCTAACATTTCAAGGGACGTTGGGTTGTTCCTGCATCTGCTGGTCAGGTATGGTAGTGGTGGTGATTCAGAGCTGCATTTCATTAATCGTTTCTGGGCTCAGTCACAGACACTGGATATGTTTATGCAGTCAATTACGAAAAGCTTTGACCAAATTAACTTTTTTATTTGAAGAAATATAAATATTTTCATGCTTCAGTTTCCCAGTGAGTTGAAAGTGGAAATCATAAACATCCCTGTCTTCCCTGCCATTTGTTCCACCTGACAAGTGATAATGAAATGGCCATGGGGAAAGGGCTGTAGCTCAGCGGTAGAGCATCTGCTTTGCATGCAGAAAGTCCCTGGTTTGATCCCCGGGATCTCCAGGCAGGGCTAGGAAAGATCTGAACCCTTCTTGAGCTGTTGACTGTCAGTGCAGGCAATACTAGGTAGACCAATTGTCTGATTCAGTATAAGGCAGCTTCTGATGTTCCTAACTGACGAGGGTCTTAAATTGACTCTTCTTCTTTGTGATAGTAATGATGACCCGAGCCTTCTAACAGGGGTGCTAATTCTTTTTTCTACAAGTGCGGGTCTGCAGCAAATTTTTGTGGCATGGGGTCCTCCACCTGTTTGGGATGATGGCCAGCCTTCCAGCCACGCCCTGTCTTCAGATGCTCCATTCACCTCCCTCCTTTTTCCATTTCCTCCCCTAACAACCTGCCAGAATTCCACGCACTCTTAAGAATGCTCAGTCTTCATTTGGGGGTTTTCCTGCCTCCATTTTTGGGGTGGGATACTTCTGCAAACGTTTGAGTTCCCAAAGCCCGTTGGCGCCGTTTTGGCTATAAAATAAACCAAATGACTTCGCTATCGCTATGTAGGATTACCGGTAATTACTCTTTTCTGTTCCAAAAACAAATATGCTAGTTGTGTGTGGTGCCTGATTCCGCTTGTGGCGTTGTGTGTCCATAAGGCGTGTTGCATTTGAAAGCCTATTTCAACCACTCCTTTCCTTGCTGTCACAATTTTTCCTAGAATAGAACACCCATAATGACACCTGTAGCATATATTTTAAATGCCTGCAATATACAACACTGCCTGTTAGGTGCAGGGGATGTCTTTCCATTACTGGTGAAGATTGCATAGTAAGCCCATTGAAATAACAGCAGCAACAGCAGCAGCAAAACCTTTCAGCAAACCTTTTTATCATTCTGGATAAATGTCACTCGACTAACTTTTTGTGTGTGGTCCCTATATGGAAGATTGTACATGATCCCTCCTTCCCCTTTATACAAAATGACTGCTGCAGAATAAAATCTGGGTGTGACTTGATGGTTCAGCTTGTGCTTCCTTTCTCCCTTCAAAGGTATAATTCTTACAAACAATACAAAGTAAGTTTGTGACTGGGCTGCACCATCTGAGACTGCAGATGGGGACTCAGGTGATGGAAGGCACCCCCATCTCTTCCATGCAGATAAAGAACTAGGCGCCAGGGATGAGGGTTATGTCCTAGCTTTCATCGTGACATGCTGGTTTTCTGCAAGTAAGGAATGTGAGTGCTTGGAGGAGTTTTCAGTTGTGTGAGCCTCCCCCCCCCCCCGCAGTCTTAAGTGGGGCAGCCCATTGGCAGCTTAGCCGTCTCTTTTGCTCTTCAATGTCATTCACAAATTGATCGCTCTTCAATGTCATTCACAAATTGATTCTTAACAAGATTGATCTGAATCCATCTAGCCCAGCATATTCGTTTCCAGCAGTGGCTAGCTGTGTGCTCCTGGGAAGTTTACAAGCAGGACCTGAAGTTGTTTCTCTTTCCTTCAGTAGCTGATTTGCAGAGGGACAGGCCACAGAATATTGCCATGCCTAGCGCTCCTGTTCACAGTTCCAAGTCAGCAAATCATGCCCTTCTGCACAATACTCCATTCCATTTTCTTAGCCATCCAGTTTTCCAATTCCCTGACTCTACACTACAGGTCAGTACCTTCCAGTAGCCTTTGTAATCATTACAACAGATAGGGCAATATTAGTTAGCAGCCTTACTCCAGATCTGGGGGAAGGGATAACTCTGTAGGCATTCATTTTTAGAGAGGGTTAGGGGCTTGTGAGTACCAGGTAATCTATCCGGAAATCTCGGAAACCACCAGTTTGCAATCAACCACCGACCAATCTCCTCCTGAACCCCTAGCAATAGTGAGCCATCTATTGTGAGGCAAAGAGAGGCTTGCCATTTCCAAACACGTCTCTGGTCTGAATGCTTCCGTTTTCTTCCTCCTGCCTAAGGAAGTGGAGAGGGTTGGAGAGCCAAAG